TTGGTCTAAAGCGAGCTCTGCTGGTGATTCCTAGGGTGTGCAGATTTATCTTTTCTGCATTTACTTAACCTGGCAGTGAACTGCACGGGCTGCCATTTGTTATCCAGAGACAGACTTCACCTCAAGCAAGGACTGCTCCACAAAATTGCAATAATTACCCAATAACCTTCATAGCAAATATTATTATTGAAAAGACATTTTTTTGGCGGGGAGGGGAAAGATTCCTTATGTGTGCTATAAGGTGAAATCCTTGCAAATTTTACACGTTCTCTGTGTCAGATTTGATATTGTTTGTGCGTGTAGCTACAGGAACATGTGACGGCGATGGTCCATGAGTATTTGCCTTCCAGAGATGCATTAGTGAGAATGCTTTAATTTGAAAGGGATAATATTTTCAAAGATGACCAGGCGACTGTGTTTTTTGCTCTCTGACTAGCAACTTTAACAGCAAATTGGGGAGGTTTTAAGAGCAGGAAAGAGAAATAGCTAAGAAAGCAAAGCAATGTCTTAACTTGGCCAGAAGATTTACTTGTGTCTGCATCTAATGTGTTAAATCTGTATTTGCGGGGAGGGAAAAGGCATTGCTCCAGTATCCAGGGTTTGAAACCGAAACCTCCTGATCCGCCCCTTATGATCTGTTCCATTCAATTTCCCATGGAGCAGATTGCAAACCCCTCTATTGTCACCCTTCTACAGATACACACTTATTAAATGTAAGGAAATGGCAGAATAATAATTTCCCTGTAATGTTCGGCAGTTAGGGCGTTTGCAGGTTTTAGACAAGGCTGCAGAGCTGTAATTTACGGATGACTTTCCATCGGATTGTTGTACTTCTGGTTTAGAGAAAGTTATGCCTTGCGAAGTCACTAGTTACATACATTAAGAGAGTTCCGTAATCTTTAATTGGCCTCACGCTTAGACATGACACACTACACTCAACTATTTCTTTCAGAGGATTAGGTAAACTACATTTCAAATTGCAGAACGACACTTGCCATGCCTAAAGTAAAACAAACTCACACGCATTAATCCCTCAAACACAGCAGAAAAATAATGTGCACAGATAAGACCTCTCTCCTGATTCCCAGTGATTATTCTCCATGACAATTTCCCTCGGAAAACAATTAGGACCTGAGAATATTTTCGTAGAGTTCTGCAGCCTGAGTTGTTTGAATTTCAAATTTCAAAGCTTTTCTAGATTTGAATAGCTTCATCTGCCCTGCTTTAGGACAGGGCAGGGCCAGAAATATGGAGAAGCTGTCATTTCTAGCTAACTTTCTTCTTTTGTTGGAGAGTTTCTTGCAGTACGGGCGGGGATATTTTCCTTTTCTGTAGTTCTTTAATCTCTATACACTGCTTTACAGGGAATAGGCTCCAGAAGCAACATTTAAAAATGTGAAAATATGCTGTAGCAAATATTTTTGCTCTAGACAATGAAAAGTTACATTCTGCGACGATATCTAAGTTCCTAAAATATCAGTGGAACGTGTGTGCATGTATGTTTGTATATTCATCAGATAATTCAAAAAACGCAGTGTTGTTGAATATTGAGTAATCGCAAATGGTTTGTATCTAGTATCATTCCCGTTTACAAGAGGAGGATTTTCATTGGAAAAGGACATGTATATAAATGAAACACAAACTTTTAAAGGGTTTTCCTGTCTTCACCTCAAACTATAAATTTTTGTGGCATGTAATATAATATACACTTATATATAACTTTCTGGTATTCCTATTGATGAAAATATGACAGCTAATGTTCTATAAAATCCCCAGCTGTTTATTACGGAAATTATTTACAAAAATGCATTTAGATATGTACTTTTAAAGCCTTTCCCACTTTTTTTTTTAACAAAGTATATGCATATGTGTTTGTTTAGTGTTCATATGAAGGATACACAGACACAAAGGCTTCAAACTTCATTTGTCTTGCATGGGGGGTTGACTCTAAACATCAAATATTTGTAAAACTCTGAGATCTATGAGCTGGGCCAGTCTTAAACACTACTGTTTCTTTAACGTTAAAGGCTAATAAATTAAAAATATAAATCAGTTAGCAACGTGCACACCTCACAGTGGTTCACAACAATTTTATTCTCCTCTACTTCAATGCATTTCTCTAATTTTCGCTCGCAGTAGCAGATACAGCTTAAACTGCAACATTCAAACGAGATAGCACTAGTGAAACAAAACAAAGCCCATCTCCCATCTCACATCAAACCACCCCGTTCTTTTGCAAACCCGACTTTATGACACATGAAGGAAAACAATGCGATCTGCTGAATCCCTGCTACTCCAAACCTAAGCACAGAAAGAGATACTCACAGCTGGTTTGGAGATATACAGATATAGATCTATATTGGAGGCAATTCTCAAATCCCTTCCCTAGCCCCCAACTAGTCGGTCTGCACACCCCCCCCCACCCCGAGATCAGTCACCTAAGTAACAGCTCTGAGGTTAAGGATCAGGCCTTAATGCTACCCAGAGATAGTTAGTGTTCCTTTCACCCTTTCATTCAAGTCCTGGAAATTCAAAGACTAAAGTTAAATCCGGCCATAAAGTTTATTGCTGAGTAATCACACTCTGGTGAGAACGGTCCACTTAAATAAAAAGAATGTTGAAGTAAACACGCAGATGGGGCCTACCCCACAATGGCAGCCAGCAATATAAAACAGAGAGGGAGAATGCAGAGCTAGAGGGATATTTACAATCTTCAATAAACCAAGCCCGTATTTCATAATTTGCAGCACTCTAATGACCTGTAGTCTCTTGTATTAATGCTACAAGTTACAGTCAATTGGTTCACTTAAAAAAAAAAGTCACAGGAACGCATATATGTATACACATGTACGTGCTCTTTGTATACATAAATACGGAACATAAGACACACATGCATATGTGCACAGCTTTATACTGGCGTATACATCAATTTGTACATACATGCACACATGCACTCAATTTAAATATATTTATATTTATGCAATTATATATAGGATCTGCAAAATGTTTCAACCACATTATAAATGCGCATCCCCGAAACACACTACGCACTTGCAGATGAATATATGTATACAGCTAGACCTTTCTGCACAACTCAATGCAGAAAATAAGGATCTTAAGTTCTCCTGTACAGTCTGTACTGTTTTAATACTAGCTTTGATGTGCAACATATTTCACCAATCCAAAGATTATTACCATATCATCACGCCTCCAACTCTATCATGCCTACATAGGACACTGCCCAGATAATATCAAGCACTATCTATTTTGTTTTCCCTTTTTTTAATCGCCTGCAGTAACTACTCCTTGCTAAACAAAACCTCTCCAAACTTGGAGAGTGTATTTGAGCAAAGGAAGTAATTATCTTCTGCGGTAGTCGAAGTGATTAAAGCTAGGCCCCAAAATCCATCTCTGCCAAAGTCGCTTATTGTGGTTTACTTTGATTTGATCGTTAAAATAGAGAGCTAGCTGCTGCGAATGAAGGGATGGAGGGGATTCGCAGCGCAACCTGGATCATTAGTGGTTGATCCTGCCTCCCGGGCACGGTGGGACCGTCCTGAAAAGCTCCAGGCGGAGAGGAAGGGGAAGAGAAAGAGAAAGAGAAAGAGAAAGGGAAAGGAAGAGAGAGGCGAGAGTCAGCGAGAGCGAGAAGGAGCCTCGGCTTCCCTACTGTACAAATAAACTTTAAGGAACTTGTGCACAAAACTTACCTTTGACTTGCAAGGAGCCATTTTTCATACAGTATTGAGAACTTGTGGTTTGGATACTTCTGTCCCTAAACCTGACAATTTGAATGGCCAGGAGGCACACGTAGCCTGCAAAAGAGTCAAATGAAGTCCAGCGTCAGTGAGATTATATGTTATGTGGTATATAATGTTGGATGTCAACTCCCCAAAACCATAAAACTTACTTTAATGGCACCACGTGACTTTTTATAGCCAGTGAGCCTATCTGTCTGTGCTATGGATGATTTTACGATCTAATTCATAGACAAAACCCTATTCATTTGGCACCCAAATGTCATATAGCCGGAACTGGGGCTTATAAAGTTTACTGTTTTATAACTTTTAAGGGAAGGCATCAATGTAACCAGTCAGTAAATGTGCAAATCTTTAGTTGCTCTTAGAAGCTCAGAAGAGTTAACCATTCAAGCTCTGATGGGGTAAGTAACATTACGTTTATAGCAAACTAATTGTAGCGAAGAAAACAAAAAATCTTTAAACGGTGATAAGTGGGAATGTGGCTAGTGAGGGTTACTAATAGACGCAGAGGGCTCGGATGTGGCTGTCCGGCAAATATACTTAATGAAACCACAGGAGAAATTCTGGAGCGATGCAAACACGTCTTGGAGTTAGCAACGTGTTTTAACAAAGCACATGTTTTGGGGGTTCTTCTTTAAAACCATCAGCAAACAACAGTTGATTCAGCCTCAAAGGGTGTTGATTGTGGTCCTACGACGTAGCTTTTCACCTAGCGAGAAACCGTTAAGGAGCAACTTATGGTCAAACTTTCAATTAAAAATACTGGTAGCGGACAATCGCAGCATCTACCACTTGCAACGTGCAGCAGGAGACAGGTAAAAAAAATATTGTAAACTCTGCAAGGGTTTTGGTTTTTTTTTTCAGAGGCAAGTGAGGAAGCACAACTTCTTGCTTTGTACAAACCAGATCACGGAAACTTTACAATAGAAAGTTTATTTTTTTTGTTGATTTCCAGTCAGTTTTTTTAAAAACAAATACAAAAAAAAAAAGCTGATCACAGTTTGCTCAAACAGCCAGACTTTGACTATATTTGTAACTTTGTTCACAAAAAACATACATCACAGAAGCTGCGCTTAATAAGAGCCACTTCTAAGAGTTCGTGCAAAGAGTCATATACAAAGGCACAGCAAGGACATACTGCTTGGAATCACAGTTTTCGTCACAGATTCACTATTCACTACACGTAGGACAAGTTCAGTTGATTTCATCATTTCACCTCTACAACAGCATTAATTACACAGGAATTATATAGGTAGTTTGAATAAAAATATTTTTAACAGCTTGGAGCTATACAGACATTAACACTTGACCACACATGCACAGTTAAGCAGGTTGAGTGCAACACATAACATTTGTACTAAATCGGGGAAGGATTTTTTTCTCTCTCTCTTTTTTTTTACCTTCTTTTTTTTCACCTTCTTTTTTGTTTAGTTTTGTTTTAACAGTTACTTCAAGTAACACAGCTCGCTTCATATAAATAAGTTAAAACATCTATTATTTTTTTTCAAGACAAAGCCATTCAAGACAAAGAAATGTACGATAAAAGCAGATCTACTTATACACGCGAGAGAATGGTAATAAACAGGCTCATGATTAAAAGATGAATAAGGGCGACAAGAACAGGGTTTCTTCACAGAAGTAACACAAGGAAGTTTTATAAAGTCAACTTAGTACTGACATGAGACGCAGGGTCAGCTAATACTGCTCAGTACTTTTAACTGATCAAACGCTTAGGGACGGAATGCCCCTCCTGCAGCTGCCATGCTCATACTTTTCAGCTTATTATCCTTTTTCCATTTCATTCTCCTGTTTTGGAACCAGATCTTTATTTGTCTCTCTGAGAGGCAAAGAGCATGTGCTATTTCAATCCTTCTTCTGCGGGTCAGGTATCTATTGAAGTGAAATTCTTTTTCCAGCTCCAAGGTCTGATAGCGGGTGTAAGCAGTCCGAGCCCTTTTCCCTTCTGGTCCCCCTATGTTGTCTGGAAGAGAAAAGTACAGGATTTAGATTCTCAGCAGCCACTCGGAGCGTTCGTGTCTTATTGCAGCTACCATCGACCAGGACCGTTATTCTCAGTCCTGCCTGGTTTTGTTTCTGGTTTGGATAAACGCTCAACAAGTTTCCCCCTCCAGCCCCTTTTAGGAAAGGCTTGGGGGAGGGGGATTTGGTGATCTCGGTAAGTTTTCGCTTGGATTTCAGGTTCGATTTATTTTTTTTAAATTGAATTTTATTTAATTTTCTTGAAGGCTAATCCCCCCACCTCTCCCCGCCTCACCCAGATAAGCTGTTTTGGAGGATGTCTCTGCTGCTTGCTGGGTTTTGAAGGGCTGGGAGAGTAAAGCTGAAGCGTGCAGCCCTTTCCCACGGCGAAGCTGGGGAAAGATCTGGGAGGTAGCGAGCCCCGGGCTGCTCCCCCAGCACCGGGGGCAGAAAGTTCCTGTGTTCCCCTCTGCCCTTTAAACCCTCTCCCCGAACTTTGGGGCGACTCGTCCCGTCCCCCCCTCCCCCATGGCTTCCCAGCAGTGAAAACTGCCCTCCTCGCCCTCCCTTATTCTCCTTTTAATATGGCTCGGCAAAATAAA